CTTATGCAAATAAATACATAAATCAACTGTACATTATTTAGCACACATATTATATGCAAAAAAAAATATGTTAGATCACAAGTTTCTCATCAACTTTCCAATATTATATGCTGAGAAATCCAAATTGTATCAAAAATATTGTCTGAAATAAAGACATTATCATTTCATTATTACTCGTCTAGATCTTACTTGAAATGAAATGCGCTTAGCAGTCTTGTGCATAATCGTTCAAGAGGGCAATGAAGTCATACCACTATTCTCTGTGTGGCGGGGAGGGGATGGTCATGATACTTCTAGCTGACTGTTCAAACTTTAGTAGGTGGAGCGGGTTTCGAACCCATGACCCACTGGCTAAAAATCCTCTCTCTAAACCAATGAGTCAAATCTCTAGAGATCTGTAAGTTTTTTAACTTGACGTGTATATGTAGGGCAAGGCTGAACACTTTGAGTGGGAATTTCAGAATGTTTGAGATGCGGATCTCACCACCCAAATCCAAATTTTTGCTCCACGACTGGTCCTCAGCAAGACCACGGCTAACAATAGAGAGTTAGTGTTGTGGTCGAGTGTGTCGAACACTTCACTCACCTGGGAAGTGAAGTGGGATCAGCCCTGATGGGTTGGTCAGTTGCCGATGAAATCTATGCACGGATACAAAAGGCTCGATTGGCTTTTGCCAATTTGCGCCACCTATGGCACCGCCGTGATATCCAATCGTCTATTAAGGCTCGCGTGAACTGCACAGCAGTCCGCTCTGTCTTACTCTATGGCTGTGAAACATGGACATTGAAGGTGGAAGACATGAAAAGGCTGGCTTCAAGTGTTTCACCACCATTGTCTTCGTAGTTTAGGACGTATTCCATAGTGTCACCACATGAGTAATGCAGAAGTTAGGTGTAGAGTTTTAGGGAGAAGAGGTAAATCAGTTGACGAGGTTGTGAACCTTGACCGATTGAGATGGTTGGAACACGTACTAAGTATGCCCAGTCACCGATTGCCTCGTCACACAATATTAGCCAAAGTACGTCCAGGCTGGAAAAAGGCCCGAGGTGGCCAGACTAAAACGTGGCACCATTGTATGAAGTCTCTGACTGTTGGTTTAAGCCATGTAGGACGATGCAGACTAGGTGGTTGGGGTCCACGGGACAAGAGGAACCAGTGGTTGGAGATTGACTCAAGGTGATATGGGTGAGAACCGATGTCAGTGGTACAGATGTGTAAATACATACATTATCCTCATCTTAACAACGCTATACCGAATCTCACCATTTTCTCATTCCTCCTTTCTTTCTTCTCGTACTTTATATTTCTTTTGACTTCATTCACTTATCTTCATCCTTCACCTCACTACCTTTCTACTTGATGAACTGACGTGAGGTGTGGCAACTCGGACCGTTACGCAGTAATGCCTGGTCCTATGTTGATAATGATGATGATGATGCATGGCTGGAAATCATTTTACTGAGATCTCGTGGTGGTAGCAGAACAAATACGTTAGCAACAAAGTGTGAGTGAGTCTGTGTCTATGTATATCTGTGAAGAGTTTTCAGTAAACAAAGTGAACTAATTGATAATGTCGCAGATATTCATCACCTCCAGTGGATAGGATGTGTTATGCATGTCTAGTCACCATCTTTCATAATGCACAAATGCTACCCAAAGTAGATTTAGGCTGGGGAAAAAAAAGACTGAAAATAGATAGACTAAAATATGAAATCTGTGAAAACCAAGATCAGAAGTTGAAGATTCTAAGAAATTTGGCTCAGAATTGATCTCAGTGGTGGAGATATATATGCATATATCACATTTTTTTGTCGTTTTATTCCGTCCCCCTTCTTCCTATGCTCATATCTCTCTGCAACTTAATCTTTCATCTTGCTGCCATGTATCTTAAAAGTTTTACTCAATCTTCACTTGTTTTCTTTGCTCCCTTCATCTTATATCTTGACTACGACTAGGGTCATTACTTCCAGCTTGCTAGATACCCTTCCTTTTTTCATCATTTTCCCCTGTGTCCATATGAAGTGTGACAGTATCGACAGACAGAAAGCAATGTGACAGTTTCTATAATTATCATTATTATCAGAGATGAAGGAAGGATTGTGCATTATTGACATCTTGTACAGTAGTCATCAAATGCTGTACACTTTCTACCAAGACAGTTATCTGCATAACGTGCTTCATTTCCTCTTCTGTTTCTATCTTGATTTTCACTTAATACACCCGCGTTGTCTCTTTTATTTCTCTGAGCAGAAAATCCTTAACCATCTCTGGTAATTATCTATGATTTCAGCCGACCTCTCAACACATACTACTTATACCCATCCTTATCAGTAGCATCCACTACAGTAGTATTCTTTTTGAAATATAATAACAAGATGATTTTTTTATTATAATCTAGAAATGTTTATCATCCTCCTCATCCCAGAAACTAAACAATATTGAAGAAGTCTTCAACTGAAAAGAATGACACAGTGAAGAGAATGCAGTTGTATACACATTCATAAACTACATCCACCGCCACAATCTAAGACATGAAGCTTCTAAGTATTCCTCTGAGGCGGTTACGGAGATGGAGACTGTTTAATTGGAGTAGTCAATGGTTGAAGAATCTCAATGACATAACTGAAAATCGGTCATAATGGTGCAGATGCATTCACTCTTTGACATCTTCCAAAGTTTGAATATTCTTACTAACTTCCATTTCTCGAATTCCTTCTTCGCTTATACATTTTTGTCTATTATATAATATTACTCTTTCTCTGCGAAGTTGTTGTTTATACGCCACTATGAATTGTAACAACTTGAACGGATGGACGTGCGTTTCGTCCTGTCTTGGACTCGTCAGCTGAATATGTCTGCACCCCAGTGCAAAGTGATGTTGTTCCCACTGAAACTCAAACCTCGTACCCATCGATTTAAACGCCACAGCATTATCCACTATGCCATGGAAGCACGATAACCACCTCTTTACAACGGGACGAAACGTGCATCCTAGAATCCTCTGCTAGCTACAACCAAGTAAATTATCATAATTAATATTCAGGCAATATTAAGGCATCCGCATAGAAGCCCATCTTGCCAATAGAGGTCGAACAATTTGATCCAATGAGACAACAAATAGTCATCACTAAGTGATTGTTAGCCTCTTTCACCTATCTAGGCAGCACTGTTTCAACTACAGGCGGCAAAGACAAGGACGCCAAAGCAGCCAGGATCGGGAAAGCAAGACAGGCCTCCATTAGCCTGAAACCAGTATGGAGATCTTCTGCACTCACCATGTGGAACAAGATCAGGATTTTCAACACCAATTCAGTCAAGTCAGTGCTCCTGTATGACTCAGAGACTTGGCGCGTTACGAAAGGCATTTCCAACAAATTACAGACATTCATTAACAACTGCCCACGCTCGTTACTGAAGATCAGATGGCCAGAAAGAATAAGCAACAAGGAGCCCTGGGAACGAACCAACCAATAACCTATCGCTCAACAAATATGCACTGGAAGGAAGTGGAGATGGATTGGGCATACACTGAGAAGGTCGACTGAGGACATCACGCGACAGGCCAGGCACTCGAGTGGAACCCAGATGGGAAGCGACGAGTTGGGCGTCCGTGGCGAGGGTGATATGGAGGAGATCGTGCGAGGAGGAAATGAGAGCTTCTGAGCTGTCGTGGAGCCAGGTTGGAGAGGTTTCAAAGAAGGGAGTGTGATGTAGATGTGCTTCTGAAACCGGATGTTCCACTAGGAACCCAAGGGACATATAATATAATAATAACAAGTGATCGTTAAAGGGTATATTAGACCTTACTATTGTACTACTCATAGAAATAGTCATTGAAGTAAAACTGACAACAACAAGAAAGAAAGTAAATAACCCTTTTATTATGTACTGTTTCTTGTGAAAACACTTTCATCCATCCCCTTCTCCATACATCATTTGTAATTATCACCTCGTCTATTATATAACACATTTCTGAGTAGTTCCATACTAAAATGAAACACCTATTATCCAATACTCTCAAATTTGAAATCGTTCTCTAACTGGTTTCAATTCATCCAGATCAACCTAGGGACCAGGTATTACTGCGTAACAGTCCCAGTTGCCACACCTCATCATATCACTACATCAAGTAAAAAGGCAGTGAGGCACAAGATGAAGATAAGAGAATCTAGTCAAGAGAAATATAAGGTACGAAAAGAGAGAAATGAAGAATGAGAAAGTGATGAGATTCGGTATAGCGACGTTAAGATGAGGATAGTGTATGAATGCACATCTACGCCACTGACATCGGTTCTCACCCATATCACCTAGGGTCTCCAACCACTGGTTCCTCTTGTCCCGTGGACCCCAACCACCCAGTACTTTGCATCGCCCCACCACATGGCTCAAGTTAACAATCAAAGATTTCAGTTCAACAAACCTTTTAATTGAACAATACACGTCTATTTTATCCAGAGCTATTGGTGCTGTTACACCTTATATCTAACATGATATTACACCTAGTATCTATTCACAGATTTATTTACTTGTATAATTAGTATTTTTAAAAAGACGTGTGAAGTTTATATCATACTGAGGTTAAAGGTATTAACAGAAAGGTCAACTTCAAAATGAATTAAAAGGTGACCCTAAACTGACCTTAACTGTATACAGTAAGCATTTCTGAACAGAATGATTACACTGTATGATACTCATTAATTTTTATCAATAATTAATAATAATATAGGAGCACTGAATAGCTGTTTTATGCTAGCATGAGGGTTGATCAGTAGCGCACATGCATGACCTCACCCCGGTCCACCCCGCCAGAGGTCGAACCCAGCGCCTTCAGGTTCCCTTGATGGGGTGAGGTCATGGATGCGCACTGCTGAGGATTCCTATGCTAAAACAAAACAGCTACTGTTTAGTACTCTCAGGTTTCTAATGTTTTTCCAGCTGATCTCAATTCATAGTGAATACCTAACTGAAGTTAATAACATTTTCAAATGACTCAACTTACCATCATAACATATATCTTGGCCACAATAAATTCCACTAATTTGACCGTTTGATGATTGAGGTGCAATTATCAAGAAGTAGATGAGTACAAGTTCTGAAGAATACTTGATATTTTTTGAATGAAACATCATACCTTTTTTGAGGGGGGGGGGGAAGAAAATATCCTTTTAAAACATCGTGTAAATATTAAAAACTTATAAAATTTGTTTCAAGTTGTTATTCATCGTAGACTGACATCAGTTGGAGGAACAAAGGAAACGTGGGAGCACTAGACAGCTGTTTCGTCCGACTAGTATGGGACTCCTCAGTAGTGCGCACCCACGACCCCGCCAGGGATCGAACCCGCGACATTCAGGTTCCACGCCCAGCGTGTTCCCATTGAGCCACTGGGTCAGAATCCAATGCCCTATATTTCCAACTTCTGTTAGCTTGTGTCAAAAAAATACTTCATATTGATAAACACTAGTACAGACTAAATAGGTGTATCACTAATATGTTTGTTTCATACTGAAACAACATGAAACTCTTCTGTACTATTCTCTTAGGTAACAAGAAATCAGTATGATTTCAACTGGTATAACTCAACTTCTTACATATGATATTAATTACACTAGTAGAGCTGCAGGCGAACCTAGAAAATATAATACCACACTGGGATAATGTGGATACATGTGTACAACTATAGATTGATCTTGGTTGTATTGTGTTCTCCGAGCTGGGTCGTCCAGTCATGAAACTTTCATTATCCTTCTTCTAGATGATACCGTCAGTAGTCAATACTACATTGGGCAAAGTGGTCACCCTCTTCACCTTCGACTACATGAGCACCAATTGGCTGGCTATTAAACGTCACACATGACGTTTCATCACTCATTTCAATGCACCTGAATAACAACTATGAACATGAATTCGACCTCGAAAATGTACAAAGTTTGGATGGAGAGACGAAACACAAAGAATATCACAGAATTCCTAGAAGCTTGGCATTCAGTTCAGTCAGTCAGCAATCAACAGATGTATAGACATAGACCCAATCAATCAATCAATAAGAAAAATGATAAATGACAGAAAGGTCAGAGGTCAAGCAGAGGGAAAGCCAACAGGAAAATCTATACAGTCAGTGGCACAACAATCAAAGGAAACAACCAGTTACAAACCAGTTGGTCACGACAGATATTGACAGCTCACTTCACAATGGAGTTGGGGCTGATGATGTCGTCTAGAAAAACGATGAAAGCGTCCCCACTCAGAGGACACAATACAACCAAGACCATCCACCTGAGCTACAAATATTCTCCATTATTTCAACTATGGATTGGCTTTTGACAATAAGCTAATATCTATTTGTCGACTTGTGTGGAGACATGATTCACTGACTTTCAACCAGTAAGTCACCGATTCAAATATCGCTCCACCTACTAAGATGTGGCAAGCCGGACACTATTAGTCCTCACATAATAGATGTGACTTATTGTCTAGCCTACTACACGATATCAGTCACGTTGGAAAAAGTAGACTACCTCAGTGGGGTCCCTAAAACGATAGGAATTACTGGTTGAGGACTCTTGATAAGATGGCTAAAAGCCTGTCACAGTGAAGCAGATGTATTCACGTTCTGATCACTTTACAAGCTTAAGTGTTTTGACTGACCTTAGGTTTTAAGTTCCCTCTCCTCCCATACACCTTTACCTATTTCAATATCAGTTGTTTTCTAGACACTTGTTTTTTGTATGCTGCTGTGAATAGTGATGACGTGAACCAACAAACCGTTGGACTATCACCATCGCCAACTTGATACATCAACACCAGACTGTATTACCAGATGATTCTCCAGTATATCATAGGCATAGGGAAGGGAGAGAAGTTAGTCGATGAGGTTGTGAACCCTTAGCGACTGAAGTGACTCCAACATGTGTTGCGTATGCTTAATCAACATCTACTTCGACAATGAGTGCTAGGAGAAGTTGGATTAGTTAGGAAGAAGTGTCAAAATGGTGAGACTACGACGTGGCAGCAGTCGATGAAGTCTCTGACAGTTCATCTGAGCCATTTGGGGGTTGTCCCAGAAACGACAGGAATCAGTGGTTGAGGACTGTTGTTGAAATGGGTGAAAATCGGCCATAATTGTGTAGATGTATTCACTCTCTGATCACTTTACAAGCTTAAGTGTTTTGACTGACCTTACGTTTTAAATTCCATTTCTTCGCAAACACCTTCATGTACTTTGATAATAATCTTTTTTGTATCCAGTTGTTCTTTGTATACTTCTGTGAATTGTAGCAACTTGAAGCAATGCACTTGTCTACGAGGTTCTACATTGATTTTTTTCGCTTGTCTATCTGCCTACTACACGAACATGCATGTGGTTGCCGAGTGCATTTTGATTCTACTCGAACTGTCAACTTTGATTCTAACACAGGTCGTAAACGTAGTGAACAGATTTCTATATGCATCAGATCAATAACCAGTAATGGTAGTTATCGCTAGCAGGAAGAAATGTAACACTCACTTTCTCCATTTTACTGATGAGACAAATAGATTAACAATTCCTAATCATCGACAATTACGCACACACTGATGCTTTCTCATTCACTTAGTAAATGACAAAAGTAAGACAACACTAGCACTATACATTTTAAATTTAAAGCATAAACGCAGGATTATAATGATTATCATTGTACAACTAAGCCCAGTACATCGGGTGCTGTGACTCATTGGTTTAAGGAGATAGCTTTCAACTAGTGGGTCACGCGTTCAAATCCCGCTCCACCTACCGAATAAAAGTATCATATTTATATATATACTTATGGAGGTTTCCCTCTCGTCACCTAATTACACAGACGACCTAATCACAGAAGAATTTTCGTTAGACCTAAAATATGCAGATGACATAGTCCTGTTAAGTGAAGACACTGACAAGATGCAGAGTCTTCTGAACACTTTGAGTGGGAATTTGAGAGTGTTTGAGATGCGGTCCTCACCACCCAAATCCAAATTTTTGCTCCACGACTGGTCTTCAGCAAGACCACGGCTAACAATAGAGAGTTAGTGTTGTGGTCGAGTGTGTCGAACACTTCACTCACCTGGGAAGTGAAGTGGGATCAGCCCTGATGAGTTGGTCAGTTGCCGATGAAATCTATGCACGGATACAAAAGGCTCGATTGGCTTTTGCCAATTTACGCCACCTATGGCACCGCCATGATATCCAATCGTCTATTAAGGCTCGCGTGTACTGCACAGCAGTCCGCTCTGTCCTACTCTATGGCTGTGAAACGTGGCCATTGAAAGTGGAAGATATAAGAAGGCTGGCTTCAAGTGTTTCACCACCATTGTCTTCGCAGTTTAGGACGTATTCCATAGTGTCACCACATGAGTAATGCAGAAGTTAGATGTAGAGTTTTAGGGAGAAGAGGTAAATCAGTAGACGAGGTTATTAACCTTAATCGATTGAGATGGTTGGAACACGTACTACGTGTGCCCAGTCACCGATTGCCTCGTCACACAATGTTGGCTGAGGTGGGTCCAGGCTGGAAAAAGGCCCGAGGTGGCCAGACTAAAACATGGCAACAATGTATGAAGTCTCTGACTGTTGGTTTGAGCCATGTAGGACGATGTAGACTAGGTGTTTGGGGTTCGCGGGACAAAATGAACCAGTGGTTGGAGATTGACTCAAGGTGATATGGGTGAGAACCGAAGTCAGTGGTGCAGATGTGTAAATACACACATTATCCTCATCTTAACAACACTATACCGAATCTCACCATTTTCTCATTCCTCCTTTCTTTCTTCTCGTACTTTATATTTCTTTTGACTTCATTCACTTATCTTCATCCTTCACCTCACTACCTTTCTACTTGATGTGCTGATATGAGCTGTGGCAATTCGGAGGGTTACGCAGTAATGCCTGGTCCAATGTTGATATTAATTGATTGATTGACTACCTGCCGAAGGTTTTGGTAGGCATGTAGGAGTATCACCAGTACCCACGCAAGAGGTGTGGTTCACTGCCTAATGCACGAATATGTACAAGGCTACTCAGTCCATTTCAATTTCAATTGCAGTACATATATGTTTACTAGACTATGACCCGCACTTAAACGGATATGACCAGGTCACTCAAGAAGAAATAAAGTGAAGTAAAACAGGCTCCATACTTGAAAATGGAATGCTTAAGTGAATGTTTTGTTGATTTCAGGTTATTATTCATCATAAACTGACATCAGTAGGACAAAACAGCTGCTCAGTGCTCTCAGGTTTCCAATGTTTCTCCAACTGATTTTAGTTCATAATGAATGCCAACCTGAAATTAAATCTCCACAAATTGAATGTCTTGCTTTCTACTGGAAGCGTGTGGGTGGTTGACACTTCGCGGCTGCCCATACCGTGCAACGCTGGTTCTTGAGGTACCCGAAAAAGAAGGGGTAGTATGTGATCACAGAGCTCAAGGCACATCTGCTTGAGGTCGGTCAAATACGGCCTTCTGAAAAGTATGGGATTTTGGTTGAAGCTTTTAAATCCAACTATGAATCCCTGGTACATGCATCGGCATGCTGTAAACGGATAGGAGTATGCTATTTGGGAGCTGATCTTTTCCAACCTCCCATTCCAATAGGGAAGGTGGCATCAGAGTGGTACTGCTAGGCATCCACAGGAAACACTTTACTGTTGTCATAATCCTGTCCAGTCAGCAAGACGACTTCCTCGTCAGACCTGCATCATGGCGTAGCAGTTCACACTGGAATGGTAATTGCTTTTTGTCTTACAACTATCCAACTGACCTTTCTGATATGGTAGGACCTCGAGGGAACAAGCTTTCCACTATCATGGCTCGTGATATACATCCTCGACCACCACCACATCAAGGTACCGGCTATCGATTGAGTAATTCAGCGTTCTAACTCACAAACGGAAAACAAATTTCTACCATCTTTGTTGGCTTCGAGACACTTTATTACTGAATTTTTTCAATAACAGGTAAACTCTGCCATTTCGTGAAAGATAGATGAATGTGGAACTTGGCAAAGAAGTGAAATAGTTCAAGTTATCACATTTTACGCAAAGAAGAAATGCAGAGGGAAACTGAATGACACTGAAGTAAGCAAAATTACATGAGAGGAAAAAATAAATAAATGAGAGTCAGCGAAATGTCCAAAACTAGAGACAATAAAGAATGAATATATATGTGTTACTATGATCGGTGTTGAGACAAATTACTGAATCAACAACTAACAAAAAATATCATCTCTTGATCTCCATCTAAGCACTTTACATGACTCAGAGAATAACAGTGAAAAACAAATAAACTGATAACATCTTCTGGTTACCCTTAGCTTTCTTCCAACTTAACTCTACTCCAATTAACATGATGCATCAAGAGCAGCGATGGCTCGACGCTTACAACATATATTTAGGCCACCTCAGTCGATTAAGTCTCACAACAAAAACTAGCCACACCTTTTTATGTAAAACTTTACTCCCTACCATGATTTCCTATATAGAAAAGTTTAATTTCAAAAAATTCGGTGCAACTTAATCCAGTGCATGTGTCTGCACTAAGCCATGAGCCAAGCTTATTATGTGAGGACTTACGATACTACCCAGTTGCCCAGGCTGAAGTAGTTGGAGTTGGATTTATATCTATGGCTCATGGCCAAAATATTGTGTTTAATTCAATGTCACACATCCAGTATTATTAGCTACCAGTTGACCCAAATCAATAAATAACTTTATCATCGCTGATATACTCGTTGATTCAATGTATCAACGGTGTCTTGACTTAAAATTGTCTATGTTGATATAAATATCTTGCAGACGCTCATTGTGTTAACTCAACTTGATCAGCTTCTCATCGAAACATTGAGTATCGTAATATACACTCATTCAAGGACTTGTTCAAACGAAAATTGATAAGTTAAATCTTAACGATTAAAGCTATAGAAAGAAGAACCTGATAGGTACATAGACAGGGTGTAAAAATCCACTAGAAAACCCTACGGTTTCCTCTGCTACACAGATTTTCTACAAAGGTAACAATTATACAGCAGTCATTATCAAGTACTCAAACAGGTAGTTGAGGATAATTAAGTGATGTTTCTTGCGCATATTTTTCTGAATATTTGACTGCAAAAGTGTTTTCCAAGAGCAATCTAGTTTAAGCGCAACCACATGTCCCTGTGAAACACCATCAGGACTTTTCGAACCGGTTCAATTCACTGTCAAATGAAGAATAACGCTGAAATATTTTAGAGGGCAACTGACCGAGGTGTGAATTTGTTGTAAAGGTAGGTAGACAATCCGCTAGTAGATAAAACATTCCAAATCAAACCTATGTAACACCCAGATGTATCTTGAGAACTTAAGTGAATATCCACTAGCAAGTAAACTTTAAAATGTCAACGCGGAGATCATTTATACTTTGTTCGACAAATATTAAGTAGCCTAACCACTAGTAAACCCGTTAAAATATCTTACATCATTCAGTATGTCGAGGTATCCGATGGATGTACGCACGGCCCTAATGGTAATAAATAAGGATACGTAATGAAGTCACTTAGCAGTCACGTAGACGGGTTTGTGCTAGGCTATGAACCACATCGGATGCGTGAGTTAATCAGGTTGATCGAACCCTGGTGAGTGATGTATGACTAGAACCAGTAACCTATATAGTCAAGAATAAATTTTCAATCGCGTAAAGCGATTAATCAAAGCTTTATACGCTCATAAGTGTGATATTACTCGTCTGTCTCAGTACACAGACACTTTAAAGGTGATGCATGTATTTCTTTCAATAATGTGTAAACGATAGACGGAGGCTTAGATGGTCAAAATTTTAAATACACGACTGGAAGGAAAAGATTTATTGTACTCATAGATCATGAACTACACACTAAGGAAGCACAGGTGAATCGCGTTGATTCCTAACGAAGATAAAGAGGATAACATGATGATGTTGACTTCCGTTAGATGCAAAAAATCTAAAATTTGACGACTTAAGTAAAAGATTGATAACCTTAGCATTTCCACACATACACTTTAATTCCTCCTTACACCTATTATTTGGTATCCACAGGAAAACAAGGGTTCCCTGTGGGAATGGACTTTCAAAAAGCTTTTTTTTACCCAAGAAATAACCTAACTAACAAGATTATAAATCACTAAAATATATGAATAAAATTTGCATTGTAGGGTAGAGGACCTGAAGTTTACCTCAATATCAAATTTTTAAACGGTTACACTAGGCTACATCATCCCCAGTTAATTTGATACTGTATATACTAATCACTATCTGAAGCCATATTTCATATTGATGGAGCTTGCTCTGTTGCTTATGGTAGCCACATATATCATGGAGAACTAAACCAGAGAATACCGTTCAGCACGAGTTGCAACCTTGCAAAGAAACAACCGAAATGTACGCAGCAACCATGTGCACCGTCTGGTCCTATGTTAACCTTGATAATGATAAATGCGTGAAGGCGAATGATACTGTTTCCATAAATAGTCAAGTTTTCGAGATTCAGAACAAAAAAAGACATCTACTAGCCTGCCTTCCTGTTATTGTCTGAAACAATGCTGCCACAGAGTTCACCAATACATCAAATGATCTTCTGTTTCAACCACCTACAACTGAAATTAAGACAAAACGACAAGTATCGATGTCACCATGCTGGAAAATAACTGAATTTCACAACACTTCGAAGTCAGATTCACAAATTTTATAGATATTTAAGGACAGTATTTAACGGACAATATAATGAGTATACTAAAAGACATTGGTACCGTTAAGAACTTGGTTAACATAAGAAACCTTGCCTACTATACATATTGGGGACTTTTATCCGGTAGCAGAGGCTGAGGTTAATGTTTTCAGTTCAATACTGAAGACTAACCGAGACGATTAGTTAGCTGAAACGTCCTCATTAGCAGCAACAAAAGCGATACCAACTAGAAAGTTTAAGGGTTTTGATTACTTTTTTTGTCACCTGCAACTTCATTTGTGGACCATCAAAACATTACTATTATGAAGTGTTCACTTACAAAAGCAGCAGAAGTATTCACTACAGGATTCCCTAAATGGCAGATATAAAAGGATGTTGTAAACTATCAGGAGGTAAACATTAGTAATAGATTTATGCCAAGTTTTGTTTGAGAAACAAGGAAGACAAAGAATAGTGACTCCAAACCAACAACTTGCCAAACGACTTTAAATAACCAGTTAGATACACCTAGCGTTAGAAACGTGTTATTCAATTAAACGTGTATTGACAAAAAACAGGAGTACAGAAATACAGTAGAGTCTACATATGATAATTTTGATTCATATGCTACAACTTTCAAGGTGCTAGTCCGGTCATGGTTAAGAATAGAAGACTATCATAGTAATATGCAGATAAAATTCCTAGTTAAAATATCATTCAGTGTTGAAAAGGCTGGCAAACTACAACTTAAGATGTTGCTGTTTTGCTGATAACCACCATGTTATTCCCTCTCAACATGTCTGATATAAACTGTGTATAACGTTGAGTTCAACTACTTGCATAAAGTAGTTGGGCACAAGATTTTCTACCTTAGCTAGAAGAATAATGGCAAAGTCATGGCTGTCGAAATTCAGTGCATAAGGAGAAACAATTACTTATAGACCATAATGGAACTCTAACGTGAAACGTAACTATAAACCTACTTTAGAAGGCATAAAGCTAACCATTGTAGAAAAATTCTTGAAACGTAGGGGGAATTCGTTGAAATTCATTAGCAGAAAACTGAGCAACACGGAGAATAACCAGAGTTACAGGAAAAACAACGTCATAATATCATGTTTATAATGTATTCTCCGAAAAGTCATACAATTCGCACGGGCTTTCATTTTAAACTGTGTTGCGTGCACTCACAGAGACACACGATTTTCGATGACTAAATATTCATAGTTTTATAAGACTTAAGTAGTTGGATGCATCCAATGTACGTTAATGGTTATGCCAGACTCCAGGAGTAGTAAAATGTGGATAAACCTTATTATTATTGTTATTTTACATATCGAACAAATACAACCTGAATTATATGCAACGAAATATTGGCTAGTAAAAGCAATTTTACAATAATCTTACCCTTCACCTTGTGTAACGCAAAATTACAAACTACGCGCAAATGCTGATCAAACCTCAAATATTATGTGATATGAAACAACAAACAAACTGTTCTCTCGGTTCTTCATCGACGTTACAGTAAAACGTTCCGCATCTGGAAAACCAACGACCATTGTCTTGGTCACAAGATACATCGCTACGCGAAATGAGTGCACATTATTAGGTGTTTTATTTACCCAGTGGTAACAAGTATCGTTTACAAGAGAATACGCAACAAACTGACATTTTATGATATTTTCACTTCTTTGCTTAGTGATACGTTTGTGTGCGTATTTTTTTGCAGCGCTCTCTAGTGAATCTAGATTAGTTGCAACTTTTTTATTTCTCAGCCAGATAAAATATTCGCCTTTTTTCAAATTCTGTTATTAACTCTCCTGATGCTCACAAATCAGCAACTTCGGAAGTGCTCAGGACAGGTGTGGGTACATTTTAGTTTCCTTGCGCCTTGTTGGTGTCATGAGCACTTCCGATGAGAAATCTCTGGACTCGATTCCTGTTTATCACTGAGCTATTTAAAGATGTCCAGCTTCTCTTAAAACGCTTTAGAGGAAAAGCAACCAGCCGTACAGAAAGGCTTTCCCACGGTAAAAATTCTGATGAACTTTCCTGCTGCTGTGGTCCCATGCACCTGTTATCGAATAACTCCTTAAGTGCCGTTTCAGATCAAAGACTTGGATAGACCACTCGGATTTTAGGGTGTGTGAGTGAAACGAAACATTATGTTCGTCTGCTCCAATCTATATGAAGCATAAAAATTCCAGACAAGTATTGAATCAGTGAATGAGGTAGGATTCCCGCCACCGCTATGGTTTCTTCACCCTAGCCTCCTACTCCTGCCACTAGCAATCAAATCAATCCGAATGCCCTTATAAGTCACTTGAAATCACCCGACTGTGTTCACGTTACAGCTTTTGACGCCCTAAACCTGTCCCATATTGGATGGTAAAGCACAAGTGGCCATTGTGAAGAATCTTCACACCATACCCCAAGATCCCTTAAAGACTTACTGGGGGTAGAAAATCATGTGGTTGTAGGTCCAAAGGTGCACTTCTTGAGTGGACACCAGACGGCTGACGTCTGCTTGCAGTTTGAACGAATAGCCATGTAGCCACCAAAATATATAATGCTGTCTGCAGACGCTCACTCGTATCCTGCCCTAACATATCCAGTGAAAACAGCGTGACTTCAACCACTGGCTGTCATTTTTTAGACAAAAGAAAAACCCAAATGCAGTCATTGAGGCAAGTGGATTCCAGGCTGAATTAGGGGAGCTATCAGGGAAGAGATCAACACAGATGAAACCAATAAAAGATGAAGAAGGAAATTTAATTACAAAAGAAGAGAAACAGAGGAAACAATGGGCCGACCACTTCAAAAAGCTCCTGAATCGACCACCACCTGCACTTCGTCCAGAAATACCACCTACAGCCGCTGAATTACAGATGAACATTAATCCCCCAACGAAAATGGAAGTCCTGAACGCCATAAAGCTACTGAAATGTGGGAAAGCAGCAGGACCAGATGGGATCCCGCCAGAAGCACTGAAAACAGATGCAGAGACAACAGCAGCGGACATGCTCACACCACACCACTATTGCAGAAGGTGTGGAAGGAAGAGAAGGTACCTGGCCATTGATTGGAAGAAGGGTTACCTTGTCAAACTGCCGAAGAAAGGAGACCTCAGTGTTTGCAAGAACTGGTGTGGAATCACTCTCCTGTCCACCCCAAGTAAAATATTAAGCCGCATCATCCTAGAGAGGGTTAAAGATGCACTGGATTCAAAACTACGACAGGAACAGGCAGGCTTCAGGAAGTACAAATCATGTGCAGACCAAATTGCAACGCTTCGCATCATCATAGAACAGAGCATAGAATGGCAATCAGCTCTCTGCCTCAACTTCATCGACTTTGAGAAGGCCTTTGACAGCGTCCACCGAGAGGTAATTTGGAAACTGCTTCATTACTACGGAGTACCGCAAACCTTTATCCGCCTCATTCAACAACTATATGAAGATGCCACATGCCGGCCAAGTAATTCACAATGGGAAGCTCAGTGATGCTTTTGAAGTGGAGTGAAGACAGGAGTGAAACAAGGTTGCCTACTATCCCCCATCATATTCCTGATTGTGGTCAACAGGACTGGATCATGCAGCAAACAGTGGGGAGCTGTGAGAAGAGGAGGATACACTGGACCGCGGAAAAGAGCCTAGAAGACTTGGATTTCGCCAACGATGACTTGTGCCCAATGTCACATAAACTTGAAGATCTACAGGCAAAAACTAACAAGTTGATAGAAGAGGCAGGGCAGCGAAGACGGGACACCATTCAAGTGAATATAGAGAAGGCAGAGGTGATGAAGATACAGCACCAACAACTCTAACAACAACAACAAACTCCAATCACCATCAACAGGAGAAACTTAAAAGAAGTAACCTCCTTCACCAATCTAGGAAGCACTGTTTCAACTACGGGCGACACAGGCACAGACGAGGATGTCAAAGTCAGAATCGGAAAAGAGAGCAAGACAGGCATTCATTAGCCTGAAACCAGTGTGGAGATCTTCTGCACTCAGCGTAAAGCCTGGAAAACATCCGGATTTTCAACACCAATTCAGTCAAGTCAGTGCTTCTGTATGATTGAGAGACTTGGCGGGTTACGAAAGGGATTCCCAATAAACTACAGAGATTCATCAACAACTGCTTACGCTCACTTGATAGTGAAGATCAGATAGCCAGAATAATGAGAATAAGCAACAAGGAACTCTGGGAACGAACCAACCAAGAACCTATCACCCAACAAATATGCAGGAGGAAGTGGGGGTGGTTTGGGCATGCACTGAGAATGCCGACTGAGGACATCACGCGTCAGGCCAGTCACTCGAGTGGAATCCCCATGGGAAGCGACGAGTTGGACGTCCGAGGGTGACATGGAGGAGGTCGTGCGAGGAGGAAATGAGAGCTTCTGGGCTGTCGTGGAACCAGGTTGACAAGATCTAAGAGAACAGAGGTCACTGGAGACGTGCTACTGAAACCCTATGTTCCACTAGGAACTCAAGGGACTAATAAATAAATGATAAATAAGAGGATCAAATAAAAGGTTCGAAGTTACGACTCATACCCTGAAGCGATAGAAAACAATTGAGATAGTTTTTAAGTTATTTTCTGGCAAACAATCATTTTTGTGAGGCAGAAACAATAAGCACACGGAAAATATTTGTAATGGCACATAACTCTGCAAAATCGATAACCTGACGAGATTCAACGTTAATGCTGACCATCATAGTTTTAATGAACCACCTGAGCCGAAGGTACATAATCAGCCATCCACGCCGTTTCGTTCATTGTCTTGTTACGTTGCGTTTCCCGTACGCGTCTCTCTAGCTGGTTAGTCGAAGCGTATCCATATTCTGCCACAGGCTATCAAATACTTCATTCCAGTTGGCTACCCAACTGTGTTCCTTCTTGGTCTCGCGCTCGATTGGGTTCACCAGCTGAGAAAATTCATGGTTATTCTCTCCGTCTTTCAGGTTCTCGAAAGATTAGTCCCTAAGCTAGTGAGCCAGTTGCATCTTATATTTGTTCATTTTCCCCTTCATATCGCCAAATTTTGTTTTCTCGCGTTGTAAACTCTCGTATTCACTTCCAACCAGACCGCTAAACCATTTCTTACTGAAACGGTTATGTATCCGATCAGGCCGACGTTATTTTAGCCAGACAACGCAGGAACTTGAGGGTCGCATCTGGTTCCTATCTGCATCCTGGAAAAACGCTGAATCCCCAGAGAGCGTACATATCTGTCTCCAAATTCAGCAAATCTCAAACCACGGGCAACATAAAGAAGTACTGAACCTGTCATCTGAACATTGAACTGTCCTGGATCTACCTCGACTTCAGGGTAGCAGAAAGTTGGACACTGCCACCCACATCTCGAAAAAGCCTGTAAGCTGGCATAGAAAGTTATTCTTATTGCCTAACTCACGACTCTGCCGAAGTTGACGAATGTCTACTACCTGTTATTATTCAACTTGTTAATTGTCTGTCTAACATCATAGCATTGTTTATACTTATAACACTTCTCGCTTGCTTTTCTGAGAATGAAAACAAGTGTTAGTAGCCTCCGCAGAAATAAGGGTATTAGCGCGAAAAGGCTAAAACTATCCATCGCCTAGGGTTAACAGTTCCACCAGCGATCGCGGTCTGTCACTTAAGTTATTCGATCTTATAACTGACGTCTGCAGCGATGTTAATCAAGTTAGGTCCGATATTATGGAAATCTAGAAAGCAGTTGGGGATATGCAGTGTGAGATGGAATATCTCATCCAACCGATGGATTTGTTAGACCCTAAAAGTGGCTTCCCACTTGATAGGTTAATAAAATGCCAGGGATTAGTTTACTTTGTAGCCAGTGAGGTAAGCAACCGAATGCGATCCCCCTACAATTCAGCAGTCTTCAACATCCCCGACAATTCCTCGCTGGAGTGGGTTAAGAATGATCGTTTACAAGCACGCGGCTTCACTGACTCGACTTGTGATGTTCGCCACCTAAGAAAAGAACTATCAGGCCCCCGTGTCCTGTTCTATTTCTATTTAACTCGCCGTGCAACGCAAAACACTTCTCTGACTCCAAGAGAATTATAGCATCCACAACACCATATAGCAAGATTAAGATACCTCCTGACTTAACTTCTCGTCAGCGTCGGACTCGGAAATTCCGTAGCGGACTGGCTTCGCAAGTTTCGCTAAAACCGCGAGAGACCGGGAGTGGGAGGCAGTTAGCTAGCTGCGGGGGTGACAAGCCTACTAGAACTCCACCGGCCCTTAAACCTCCCCCAGTGACCACTGAAGAACTTATAAATGCAACAGGCAGCATAAGAAATGCAGACTCTATACCACCAACATGCATAAATATGGCATCCACGGACCTAGATGACAACACAAGTCTTAGTGATAAACTACGAGGGTCACAACGCATAATCATTCACTACATATACCAACAGC